CTCTCTCTCTCTCTCTCTCTCTCCAGGGAGCGGCACTTGAGGCCGCGGGACTAAGAATAAAACACGGTCGGGGTGTAAAAGCTGGTACAGGACCCTCTCGGGGAAAAGGGGAGAGAGAAAGAGAGAGAGAGAGGGAGGGAGAGAGGAGGGAGGGACGCGGGAGTAAAACATTGAGGCGCGGCTGTTTACCTCATCAAGGCCGCGTGGTTGTGACGTAATGCATTGATTATGATGATTACGTTTGGATTTAAGTGCAAAGGCGGAACATTTAGCAAAGGCCATGGTGAAGAAGTTCTTACGCGCTAGCGACGCGTACTTTTGCTTAAGTATACGATGTAGAAACCTTACTATACGCTTTAATTTTTACTATTATTTATGTTGGAGTTACTCTGTGAGTTGTGGCACAGTAAAAGGACATTCCAGTACAGTACTACTCGTACAGTGCATTCCAGTACTGCTGCAGGGCAGCCTACGACGATGGGGGGGGGGGGGGGGCAGGTCTTTGGCCCCCACCACCTGGTCGAGTTTGCGCGCGTTTGGAGAGAACTGGTGGAGAGACTGGGAGAGAAGAGACCTGGAGGGGCTGTTAGCGGGACCCGTCCAGATTTCCGTGCTCTCCTTTTATTCGCTCGCTCTGCCTTTGTTTAATTTTTCACGGGGCTTACACCGCTTTTCACGCGCCTTCCCGCGCTCCTACGCCCCGCACTCTCTTCAGCTCTGTGCACTGCTCCCAGTTTGCGGTCTCTCTCCCTCTCCCTCACCTTAAAAAAAGAAATGTTAAAATGCGCTTTTTATAATGTTAATGAATATCTAAAATATGGTCTAAAATTCAGACATTGTTGTTAATAACTGTACAAACAGTTCAGTGACAATAAATCAAATCAAATCTCAAAATCTCAAATCTCTCTCTCTTTCTCTCTCTCTCTCTCTCTCCCGCTGCCTCACTTGCGTGCGGCGTGCACGACCTCAGGACCGCCCGGGCGGGCCGCCTTGTAAACTATTCATGAATTAATTAACGTTTTGACATGGACACAGTTAGCAAGTTTTGCTTTACTGTGCTTTCCCACCCCACTTTCCTATCCGTACTCCGTGGCCCCCTCCCTCCGGACCGCTGGTACGTGCCCCCTTCCCCGCGGCCGGCACAGTCAGTGCCCGGCGCGTTTTGGGGGTAGAGGAAGGGACGGAGAGGGTGCCAGCTTGCGTCCCGCCGCCGCCGCTGCTGCTACTGCTCCACGCCGCCTGCAGAGTTGTCGATTCCTCGCGTTTTCTCTCATTTGATTCACGACTGCTCGGCCGCGAGGGGGGCCGACCTCTGGCTCGACCTACCCGACCTCTCTACCTCCTCAACGTGCGCTCGACAGGGGGGCCGACCGCTTAACGATGGTCCTGTGCTGGCGGGGCGGTGCAGCGCGCTTTGCCGACGAGTTCGGGCGTTTTAAACTGACGGATACTCCGCCCCCCCACCAAACTCCGCCTTCATCTTCACTCCCGGCCTGTCTCGCGCCCTAAAGACTTTTTCTTCCCTTGCTCGCTCCTCTCCCAACCTCACTGTTCCAGCGCAATTAGCTGCCCTGACCGTCCTTAACGCAGGACATCATCTAGGGAGAAGGAGGGAGAGGGAGAGAGTGAGAGAGAGACCATCATCCCCTTACGTGGAAAGGGGAGGGGGAGGAGGGGAATACTGACAGACGACGGGGAAAAAAGAGTGCCGTCCCAGCACAGCATAGCCTGCAGTTTTTAGGAGGGCGCCCCCAATTCCTGCCCAATTGGTCTGAATTAATTTTTATTTAAATTGTTTTATCGGCTTTGCCACCCCCCCCCTTTTCTCTCTCTCTCTCTCTCTCTCTCGATATATTTTCTGCCGGCCCGCCAGGCTGCCCCCTCATTAGAGCGCCAAACCCCGGTGCGTCGGGTAGCCAATCACTTGCCCCCCCCCCCCTTTTCCCCCTAGAGGGACAAAAAGGCAAATAACTTCGCTGTACAATATGGTCACTTTCGTAAAAAAAGGCTTTATAAAAACGTGTGTTTTGTTTGTTATTTTATTTTCTAATTTTTCCTGCTGTTATTGCATTTGTGTGCTCGCGTGTCTCAAAGGGACTTGCGGTGGTGGCTGTCGGGCCATCACATGCAAAACAAACCGCGAGCACAAGTTATAAACTGGACCGGGGGAGGCTGTGCGGTGCGTTACATTCCCGGGAGCTAAATTGTACGAGGGGCGGGTGGAGGAGGGGTGGACACCGCCAGAGCGGTCGCAAGGGAGTGTCCCTTTCCTCTGTCAGCCTGCTCTCTCTCTCTCTCTCTCTCTCTCTCTCTCCCCCCCCCCCCCCCCCCCCCCCCCCCCCCCCCCCCCCCTCTCCACCGCCTGCTACCGCCGCCCTTTCCCGAGGGCCTAACTGCCCAGCTACCGGCCGGGCCGGCCACCAGATCGTCTGCGATAAAACCCGATGAATACTCCCTAACTCCCTACCCTCCTAGCCCCCCCCCCCTTGCCTTTTCTTTTCCCCCATCCCTCTCCTTTCTGACCCCCTCCCTCTCTCCCTCCCACACACTAGCCTCACGACACCACACACACACACACACACACACACACACACACTGTTCTGGTGACCGAAGTGAT